ACTGCTGGCTGGCAGCGTCCGTGTGCTGCGACTCAGCTGGGGACTCGCCCACTCTGAGTCTCCTTTATTGCTCCTGGGACCTAACTTGTGGTGGACGTCAGCTGGCACAATTCAGTTCTAACCTCAAGAACAAATAGGAAAAAGAAAAACTTGTCATTGTGGAGAAGTTAAAAAAAACAGCTCCTTTTGACATTAAAAAAAAATCTGCCTTTTCTGAAGGTAATTCCAATTGTAGACTCAGGAGGAACGCCATCACGGGGACTTCTCACGCTTCCCGCCCTGCTTGGGAGAGAAATGTGGGCCATTCCAGAACTTGATCCAGCTGGGTGCAGACAGGAGACCTGCTGTGTAACAGTCACGGCCCGCCCTCCTCAGCCAACTTCTGCCTAGTGACTTGACTTCTAGTTGCTCTCGGTCAAAGCATGACATTCTCATGTTGAAGGAATGTTCAGGTTACCTACTGGTGGGACACATGAGGCCCAGAGCCTCATGGAAGGCCTCCCTGGCAGCTCTGTTATCAGAGAGTGCTGGGCTCCGGCAGGGGAGCATAGCTGCTCCCTGTGCAGAGCGCCCTGGGAGGCCTGGCCCTGGCCATCCACCTGCCGCTTGGAATTAATGAGGGATCCTTCGAGAATTACGTCACCGACAAGCATAGGTGGTCTCGGGGGTCTGGCAGGAATCTGCCTCAGGAAAAGAGAAAGCCCCCTTAGCTTTTTGCCCCAGCAGTGATGCCAACCAATCTCTCTTGTCTAACTGCCACGTTGGAAACAGGCCCACGGCAATTGCATGGTGGGAAACCATCTGCAGCCATGGTGCAGGTGGGTGTGAGGAGAGACAAGTGCATTGTGACAGGTGCTTCAGGCCTAGGGTGGTGGCTCTGCCCCCTGTGCCCTTCGCTGGAGCCCAGGATGTAACCTGTCCCACACTTCAGTGCCTCCCAGCTCAGGCTGAGAAAGGCGCCAGGCCACTCTGGGTGTGCTGCCACTGACTTCTGAGTTCCAGCATGGGGCAGAGGAGGGGTGCCCTGCTCCTGAGAGGTGCCTGGGCTTCTGGCCCGCTGCCTGGAACTGCGGTGCTCTGGCCACCCCTTCTCCCAGGGCCGATCGAGAGGCTGCTGGTGGCTGTGTTGAGTCACGGCCAGCCTGCGAGCCTACGGCCATGTGTGCCCGCGTGGGGCAGACTCCAGGGACAGTGAGGAGGCCCCTTCCTCAGGGCTGTGACCAGATGGCAGGGGTCACAGTCACGACCTGAGGTCAAGTGCAGGACTCACATCCGCACTCCTAATTGGACGGGGGTGGTGTTCAGTCCACAAGGATGTGCTCACCCGTTTTGCTGGAAGTGAGTGGCCTTGTTAATTTTTCACCCTTATGACTGAGAAGCATATATTGAAGAGTATTTTACCGCAAACACAAACAAACAACAACAAGAAAAAACAGCTGCCATACAAAACATTTAAGTGGCAATGGCACTCCCCTGGTGTCAAGGGACAGAGAGATGGACAACAGGGCAGAGGCCAGCACAGGCCCAACTCCCAGTGACAGCTGCTGTGACGCGCCTGCCTGAAGGCTGGAGCGAGGGTGGCCCAGTATGTTGCCTTTTCTAGACAATTTCTAATTTTTAGGAGAAGTCTCCCATCTTAAAAGATGGACCAAGGAGCCAGCATCGCATGTGGGAACTGGTTCGAGTCCCAGGTGCCCCACTTCTGATCTAGCTCTATGCTAAAACGCACCTAGGGAGACAGTGGAAGATGGCTTGAGTCTTTGGGCCTCCGCAGACAACATTGGGGACCTGAAGGAAGCTCCTGGCTCCTGGCTTCAGCCTGGCCCAGCCCTAGTCATTGTGTATATATGGGGAGTGAACCATCACATGGAAGATTTCTTTATCTTATTTTGCCTTTCCAATATATATATATATATATATTTTAAAATAAAAAGGAGAATTAGTTTTTCTATTTTTTGAGGATACTCCAAGGGGCAAACAACACACTGGCCATACTTCGGGCCATGTGTACCTTTTGTGGGAACCCACTCCTGCCCGGAGTTCTGTGGATCTCAGGAATGGAAGTTTCTGCAGAAACAGAGGTGAGCCCCTCCTTTCCTTAGTCAGGGGATGAACAAGCAAGCTCTCTCTCCTTGCTGGACCCATAGCAATCGGAGCTGCAACTGGCCTGGGGTAGTCAGTAGTGTTTTACAGGCTGCCTGGAGCGGCCTGAGCAATTGCCCACCATGACTTGTTTGGTTCCCTTTTAATTGAAATGCCTGCTTCCGTCCATCCAAGTGGCTGAAGACCTGCAAGTACACAGAGTCCCAACAGAACCGGGTTCTTGCCTGTCCTCTGGGCCGTTTTGCACACACACTGCTGACTGTCCCAGGCCAGCTGCAGGTGTGTCGAAAGCAAAGGGCTGTTTGGGTCTCCTCAGCTGCTGTGCAGACTTCTCGGGGCACGGGACAGGAATACTGATGTCTCTTCGTAGCGAGGGAATGCCCCCAGAGATCCCAACACCCCACTCTCCGCTGGGAGCTGCCTGGAGAACAAGGCCTCAAGCTCTGCCCAGGTGTGTGCAGCGAGCTCGTCTTAACATCTAGGTTACAGAAACGCAAATGAGCTGGGCCCACCGTATTGGGACATTTAGTGCCAGTGTTCCTGGAGAGCCCAAGGGGTCCCTAACAAATGGATCAACCACTTCCCCATCCCCATCTTTGGAGGCGAAGCTCCCCTGGAGGCTAAGGCAGACACTCTCCACAAAGAGGCCACCAGGGGGCACCCTCACTCGCAAGTTGCACTGGGCGCTGGGCTAGGGAACCTGGAACTTGGATGCTGAGGAGACAGGAGGGGACTGGGGAGAGCTGGTCAGTGCTGGGACGGCGGACGTCAAACAGAAGCAGCACAAACGCACGCTTACCTCAGTCCCTTGCCTGCTCTCCAGGGCCTCAGCTGCCACCGTCAGAGCCTGGGATACCAGGGTGCTGAAAGGGGCAGCCTGGTAGGCCACTGGAAGCTGTCCCGTGCCAAGGCTCATCAGTGAAGCGCAGCGGGACAATGAGATGTGGAGGACGATGGCTCCCCCAGCCGTTCCTTAACACTTCCTGACACACAGACCTCAAACAAGAGGGAGTGAATGGCCTCGGCTGGAGTGTGTGGGTGGGTGTGTGCTGCACTGCCGTTGACGGCAGTCTCCTTACTGTCTGGCTGAGCCATGCTCCTGGAGGAGATTGGGGTGGTCCAGTGAGCGGACACATGGCAGAGGCCAACAGGAGTCACAGGGGAAGCTGGGGGCGGGGTGGTCCAGCGAGCAGGATGTCCTTTTCTGCTGCGGCAGCCACAGATACCTCCTGATATAGTCAAAATTCCCTGGTGGGTACAACGGCTGCCAGTGAGAATGAGCAGTGTAAGTCAGTCAGGTGCTGTCCAGCACTGTGTGTGTAGTACCTCCAAAGGGGGGTGGGCAGTGGGTGGGGGAAGAAAGGAGGATGAGGAGGACTGGCAGGGGGAGGAGTTCTTGCTGCTTGGGGAGGACTTCCCTTCCCTGACTTGCTTCTTTTTTGACTCCACCCAGGCCGGCAGCCCTGGTGGGGAAATGGAGTCAGCAACAGGGACTGGATGGTCCCTGGTCAGTGCTCTGATGTATCCCAACAGAGTCCGTAGCTGAGCAGCCGAACCTCATGTAAAGACAGAATACACAGCCTGGCAGCGAAGGAGTGAGGGCAGACTCAGTTCTATACCCATCCCCGGCCTAGACACAAGACCTGGATGGACACTGAGGGTCTTCATGCCACAGCAAGGGACCTCTGAGTCTCTCAGTTCCCTTTCCAGTCAGTGCCTCCTGGTCATGGCCCAGCTGCACAAACCCACTGTTAAATGCAATAGAAGGTGCCTCTGCCTTCATGAAAGCTTCTTCCCTCGGTGCCCTACTGGGTTGGCAAGGGTGTGCCAGGGACAGGAACTGCGGTGGGGGTTGGGCAGAGTGTGTGGGCCTGGCGCTGGGCCTGGTGCTGCCCCTGCAAGGTGCAGGTCTGAGAAGAAGAAGGAGGGCCAGTAGGGGACTGGGAGAGCCTCAGCATCAGTGCCTGCAAGGACCCAGAGCGTCTGGGATACGAGAACAAACAGCATCGTTCAGGGAGAGTGAGTGAACTGCCAGCGCAGTGCTGGTGGAAAGCTAGGGGTGGCCTGTTAACCACACAGCCTGGGAGAGCTCCAGCACGCCCTCCAGTCCTTGCCTGCAGGCAAAGCAGTGGCTTCATGGCTGCAGGACTGCTGGGTTTCTCCCTGCCCCCCTCTATTCCAACTTGGGGTGGGAGGAGTGCGAGCTTCCGGTGCAAAAGAACTCGTCAGCACCTTCCAACGACACAGCCCGCCTTGGACAATAACCCAAGGGCCCAGGATACGTGGAGCATCTGGGAGGGAGTGTGGCCCTGTGGATGCTGGCCTACCTGGCACAGCCCCAGAGGGGCTTGTGGGCTGGCCTGGGGATTAGAGAACATACAGGAAAAAACAGTGAAAGGCATGTGGGGTTCATTGCTGCTGCCTTCTCCCTCCTGCCCCAAGCAGCCCAGGCCACAGGCTGCAGGTGGCAATGGCACATTTAGGCACCGGCTCCTCACCCTTCTTCTCTCCCCCTCTCCCTGCTGGGGGCTGCAGAACACATGAGCAAACCTGAGCCCGCTCAAAGGATGACCAAGTCAGGGTGCCCCGCCTTCCTGCGAATGGACGCCCAGGGTGCTGTGCCCAGCTGTCACTCCACAGCACTTCAGTCGGGGGGCGCAGGGGACAGCAGCTGCTCAGCTCTGGTCCTGCAGGGAGACACGTCACACAAAACGTCTCTTCCTGCTTGGGCCAATAGCATGGGGCCGCCATCCATCCTGCAAGTACTGGCCACCTGCGTGCTTCCAAAAGCTTACTCTTGAGCCCAGTTCATGGGGAGCCTCCCAGAGGAAGCCTGGAGAACCACAGATTGTGAAACACACCTAGCCAGAAAGGTCTGCCCCTGGCTGCACACTCACCGGCTGCAGCCCGTCCTCCTGCCTCCTGCTCTGGCTTGGGCGGTTGATGAAGGATCTCGTGGAGACTTTGTAGTGGTTCAGCAGGCAGACGATGACCACGACCATCACCGTGACCACCACAACAATGATGATGACTTGGGCAAACTCCAGCTCCGCTGCGAGAGAGAGAGAGAGAGAGAGGGGAAAGGGTGTGAACCACTTGTGCTCCTGTAGCACCTGCACCCCACCCTCCAGGCACTGCTAGGGACCAGATGGAAGACGAAGAGGAAGCCTCCTGGGTGCATCCGGTCCTCATGGGACCTCAGGAGACAGACATGGTCAGCCCACGCTGTGGAGGAAGACACTGAGGCACAGTCACGCAATGAGGCTGCACGCGGCGCTGAACCCAGGCCTGCGGCCCAGGACCAGTGCTGGACTCTGCCCTTCTGGTATGTCGAGGAGAGGGAACCTCAAGGAGATCCTTGGGCCCCCGCACAGGACAGGCCAGAGATGCACTTCTGAAACGAGGAGACCTTAAGACAACAAGCTCTGGGGGTCCTGCAGGGCTCATGAGGTGTGGCCAGCACCCACAGAGGGGTTCCAAGATCAGCTCCTCGCACTCGGGGGACCCTTGGTTTCTGCCTTCTCTCACCTGTCACCTAAACTCACTCCCTGCTGCTGGTGAAACCCCGCCCCCAAAGGGCACTGAGAAAGCAGCCATTCCAGCGAGGTTCAAGCCAGCCTGATTCAAGGAGCATCTCTCCAAGCCCAGGAGGAAGGGAGACATACGGGTCGTTCAGAAGGTTCATGGAGAAATAGATTTTCAAGGTGAGTCTGTTTGGCGCAACATATTTTTTGAAATTCACGCATGCTTTAAACAGGCAGGCCCTTACAGATGTTCTGCTTCCCACGCAGAACGCCACTGTGAGCCCACAGCTACTACGCCGCAGTCCTGCTGTCCAGCACCAGGCAACGTTGGCAGGCAGAAGAGGGGAACTGCCAAGCGGCTCTGCAGGTGACCCCGGGCACACGGGGCATGCTCTGTCCACCTGCAGAGATGCATTCGTGCCCAGAGGCCGCGGCCAGCAACACGGAGGCCTCCGCTGGCTGCAGAGAACAAAGACGGTGCACAGAGGGGCAGCCATATAGGAACACGAAAGGGCAGGGAGCCGCATCTGTTTGCACCCAAGGCAGAGCACACAGTGATGAAGAGCGAGTCCCTGAACAACGCTGCCGTTTCTGCACCTTCATTTCTGAGGGTGGATACAAGGTTTCCGGTTAAAGCAAGCCCTGGGGCTTAAAGAGACATTTTTGTCAAGAGAAAGCAAAGGTGACAGTGAGCTCCTTTCTGGTCAGTTGTCCTCGAAACACAACAGGCTCTGCAGACAGCTGCCGGCAGCAAAGCACATGCAATCCTATTTTCAGGATTCTACCGGCATTTCTGGCAGATACGTGTTTTATTTGCAAGGGAGTATTACGATAAACTCAGACATTTATTTATTTATTAAAGATCTATTTTATTTTGATTGGAAAGGCGGATATACAGAGAGGAGAGACAGAGAGGAAGATCTTCTGTCCGATGATTCACTCCCCAAGCGAGCGCAACAGCTGGAGCTGAGCCAATCCGAAGCCAGAAGCCTCTTCCGGGGCCTCCGAAGCAGGTGCAGGGTCCCAAAGCTTTGGGCCGTCCTCCACTGCTTTCCCGGGCCACAGCACAGGCAGGGAGCTGGATGGGAAGCGGGGCTGCCGGGACTAGAACCGGCGCCCGTATGGGATCCCGGGCGTGCAAGGCGAGGACCTTAACCACTGCGCCACCGCGCCGGGCCCTCGGGCATTTAAAAACACAGAAGGAAACTGCAGACAGTGCGCAGCTCTGCTTCCCAGCCTGCGGCCTGCCCTGAGCGCCGAACCTGTGGCCCTGAGCTCCGTGCTTCTGTCTGCTGCTGCTGCGTGAGCAGGCTCCACTGCAGGGCAAGTATCGTGCACAAACTTTGTCCTCTTGTTGGTTTTTTGCCTAACTCATCCGACACATCAAGGCACCTGCAGCTGACCTGGCTCTTCGTGGTGGCCCTCTCCTCCTCATGACACTCTGGCACTGACCTTGCCTGGCGGTTGGGGTGGTTTGTTGCTTTTGCTTTTTTTTTTCTTCGTTCTGCTTAAAGATCGTGCGTGGGTACGTATGTGACTACGTATTGGCATGTCCACGGGAAAGAGTTGTAAAAGCAAAACTCCTGAGTCAAGGACATATCATACCCCCCCCCAAAAAAATTAACTTATTGATTTAATTTTGTTTGCGCGGCAGAGACACACTCTCATTTGCTGGCTTACTTCCCAAGTGTCTGGGAACGACTGGTGCTGGGCCCATCCAAAGCTGGGAGTCAGGAACCCACAATCCACGCCGCCCAAGGGGAGTGGTGGGCTGGCAGGTTGCGGCAGTGGGGGAAGCCAACTGTTTGAGCTGTCTGGCAAAGCATGCATTCACAAGAAGCCTAGGTCTCACAGAGACTGACATGGGGCACCTGTGTTCAAGCAGCAGCTGGACATCTGTACGGGCCTGCCTGTTTGGGCTTCACCTCTCTGAGAGCCTCTTCTGTGGGAAGGCGGAGCCAGCTGGGGTCCCTTCGGGACGGGGTGGGGTGGGCAAGTGCTCTGTGTCACAACACAGGAGACAGGCACTCGACACCTGTACAAATCCGATGAACTAAAGTACCTGTCTTGTTTTCATTTGTATTTTCGCAATTGTTGGTCGTTTTAGCTCTTCTCTTACGGTTATGGTAATCTGCATTTTTCTTTCTCACAATTTTATTTTTTTAAGATTTATTTATTTATTGGAAAGTCAGATATACAGAGAGGAGGAGAGACAGAGAGGAAGATCTTCCGTCCACTGATTCACTCCCCAAGTGAGCGCAATGGCTGGTGCTATGCCGATCTGAAGCCAGGATCCAGGAACTTCTTCCAGGTCTCCCACGCGGGTGCAGGGTCCCAAGGCTTTGGGCCGTCCTCGACTGCTTTCCCAGGGCACAAGCAGGGAGCTGGATGGGAAGTGAAGCTGCTGGGATTAGAACCGGCGCCCGTATGGGATCCCGGGGCGCATTTAAGGCGAGGACTTAAGCCGCTAGGCCACACTGCCGGGCCCTCTTTCTCACAATCTTATTGGTTTATTTGTAGTGTTTTCATGTATTTCTCATGGGTTTGGTAAGAAATCTTCACATTATATTAGAGTTACCATTCTTTCTCTGTGCACGTGCTTGCAAACATTTCCTCCGGCCTTTTCTTAGAACTCTGCTGTGAGCTTCTGTGTGATATAAATGTTCGTGCCACCCAACTCTTTTTTTTTTTTCTTCTTTGTAGTATCTAAACTTCCCCCTTTGCCTGTGAAGGCCTTCTTCGATATTCCAAAACCACATTATCTTCTGGAACTTACGCAGTTTGGATTTTCATGTTTTTATCTGTACTTGCTCTGCCGTTCATTCTTCAGTCTCTGATGACGCACAGGACATTTTCTATGTTGGAAAGGCATGCCTCTCCTGATCTACAACAAAATTCAAGTCAGGATGGCAAAGATCTCAGTGATAAAAAGAGACCGTGTAAGAGGGGCATTCCCTCTACAAGGAAAGTCCTCAGCGCTCATTCTTTCCAAAGGGACTGCCGTTCACTCTTAGGCTCAATGTCCCAGCTTATTCATAAGCCTTCCACCAGCACGGAGCTACCCTGTCCTTGCCAAGACACCTGCACCTGTGCTGTCACACCATGGTCGTTGTGTCTACTGTACCCAGGACACGGCAGCTCTGGGTGCTCAAGGACCCTTGAGAGCATGGAGTTAACTTGGGGTTGACTGAACTCTCGGGCATCTTCGTGGGCACAGCACAGCAGGCACCGGGGTCTCGGGCAGTTGTGTGCAGAGCTATGCAGCCCAGCGGGGACACCCAGCTGGTAACCTTGGTGGCCTGAGGAGAGCCTGGGCTATCGCAGCCCTCAGCCCACGAATGGGAAGCAGCCCTTCCTGCAGGTGAGATGGCAGGGACACAGCGGGACCCCAAACATATGCATTCCAGACACTGAATTGTCACTTGCTGTACAGCTACTTGGTCCCTGGCTGCAGGGCGAGGCCCCCTAGGGTGCTCTTGAGAGCACCACCCAGAAGAGCTAGATTTGCACTCACACTTGTCTTGGACTCCTCCTTTGAATCAGGGCAAAAACAGTCATGAAAATACATCGCCTCCTTGCTTTTACATCACAGGAGACAGAACAGTCAGCACCAACGCACAGGCAGGTTTGACTCTCATCAGGGCTGCAGAGCCTCAACGGAGAGGGTTCTCAGGGACAAACAGGACAAGCCCACTCCTTGCATTCTGCTCCAGTTCACCAGGGGTGCAGGTGACACTGCCCTCCCACCAGAGACATCTGTCTTCCCAACGACCCCTCCTGCATTTGAAACAGGAGGATTGGACCAAAAACCCCAGAGTAAGTTTTCACGGGTGGCAGAGAACAGGTGTAGCGGTGAGGGAGCTGCAGTGCGCAGCCAAGGCGAGAGGCTTATGCTGCTGGGTTTGGGTGGTCTTAGGGGGGTGAGCTGGGAAGGGAAGGCTAAGAAGACAGTTCCAGAAGAACTGTTGAGACAAGAAGATTAAAAAAAAAAATTCTTCCCAGGAAGAGGGGCGTTCTGAGAATTGAGCAGGACGCTCAGGGGTCTGCGGTATCTTGTGCCAGAGGGGATTCCAAACAGAGTGCCCTGGTTGGTTCCCAGTGGTTTCAGTAGCTGTTGATATCACCAGGGCAATGCTTAAAAAGCAAGCCACGCAAGAGCAGCAGTTAAGGCTCAAGTTGAATGTTCGCATTCCCTCTCCTTTTATGGGGCTGTAGTACATAACGCTACGGGCGATGAATCACTGCCATCTATACACCAGGGACTGTTCTAATGAACCAGGTCTCAAACCCGCAGGAAGGCATCATACTCTTATTATTATAAAGCTGTGACAATGACGACAGCGATGAGGGAATCTCTATTTTTGCAGCGACATCTCCAAGAAACTCCAGGCAGCATGGTGGGGAATGATGAGAACGGGGGCAGTTGTGTGCAGTCTGTTGCTTCATTCCCTGGTCCTGGGGAAGAACTCACTGAATCATCCGAGGGCCATGAGTGTCTGTACTATTTTTAAAGAACTCTGGGGAAGTG